AAAATCAAAACTCACGTGTGATGTTCATTCTTTGTAATACACAGCATGGTCATTCTTTGCGTCCCACAGTATAATCATTCTTTGATGTTTTATGGGCAGTGGTCCCCATATGCCGAATGCCCTAACTCAATTTATTGCAGGTTCTCAATGCTTACCAGGTTATTGGGTCATGTGACCTTGTTTAATTTTAAATTCAAAAAAACCAACTACCGACGATGGGGATCGAACCCACAACCTTCGCCTGCGGCGATTACATGACCAGGATCATGTGAATAGGAAAGCGACGCTCTACCATTGAGCCACGACGGCTTGTAAATATGTTAATAAAAGTAATTCAAAACGTTCGAGATGTGCATTGAACATGAGGCAAACAGTTTTCACGTGATAAATAATCCTTGACACAAAGTGACATTAGTGACCTTAGTGACGCCAAACGCACAGTTAACCTCAACCACGGGGGGAACGCGACCACTATCGGTTTTGAATCGAGGTGAGGGCTTGATTCTTCTAGCTAAACATACTATCTTACCCCTTCTCAGGTGTGCTGAAAGATATATCTATTGGAGGTTGCGCACCTCTTCGCGCGAAGCTAGGTAGCTTGCGAAACTCAATATTTGGCAGACTATATACATGTCGGATATCCCCCTTCAATCTTTTCGAAGAAACAAAGCCCGTGCAGATTATACACCTCTTGTAGACTCAGATTCACCCCTCCACAGTCCCCAAATGCCGATGCACTCTACCGTGACTGTTGTGGCCTCTTCATCTACTGCTGGACGGAGCCTCCGCCTCGGCAAGTCGACGCGAAAGGATAGATATGTGGATGAACCCGAGGAAGAGGCGGGACTACTAAGACAAGACCCATATGATGATGCGTATGACGAGGAGGCGGGAGGCGAAGCTGGTTCCCCAACTGAGGTGCATCTCATTTACTGTCAATACTGGCTGAGACTCATGAATGGGCAGCTACCTACTCCTCAACTCCTCAAAAGCAGAAGCGATAGCGCCAAGGACAACAAGGACAAGGATAAGTCTCGGACGATACCATTTAGGCCCCCAGGTGCGTAATATGCGCTTTCCTGTTTGTGTTTTACTCATAACCGTGCAGACAAATTTCAATCTCGATTTCCTCCAAACACTGTACGAAACCAGAAATACAATGTTTTCACGTTCTTGCCAATGGTATTTTACGAACAATTCAAATTCTTCTTTAACCTCTATTTTCTCCTCGTGGCCCTATCCCAATTTGTTCCTGCTCTCAAGATTGGTATGTATGTATATTCAAGGGCTCGTATAACACTGACATGTAATACAGGTTTTATCCTCACATATATTGCCCCCCTCGCCTTCGTTCTGTTCGTCACCATGGGCAAAGAAGCTTACGATGACTACAAGCGCAATCTCCGAGACCGTGAAGCCAACTCCCAAAAGTATCTTATCCTGGAACGGCCGTTGCCTTCTCAAGAGACATCCGTCCTCTCTCGTGAAGACGCTTATTTAAATACCCATGCCAACACTCGTTCGGTTCCCTCATCGTCACTTCGTGTGGGTGACCTCATTCACCTAGAAAAGAACCAGCGCGTCCCAGCCGACTGTGTATTATTACGAACCTCTGACGCTTCTGGAACCTGCTTCATTCGAACAGACCAATTGGATGGGGAAACTGATTGGAAATTGCGGGTTGCTGTGCCTGAATGCCAGAAGTTGGACGAGGGCGATCTCATTCGGCTAGATGCCGAGATATATGGTATGTTTCATTGTCGCTTTTTGTGCCAGTGTATGAATTGATACGAAACAAGTACCTTAGCTGATGCGCCAATCAAGGATATCCATTCTTTTATTGGTACCTTTACACTGAACAGCCCGCCACCTGTATTGTCTACAAGAAACCCTTCATCTGAATCTGTACCGCTTCATCCATTACCACCAACGGTATCTCCGTTAACAGCCGAGAATGTGCTTTGGTCGAATACAGTCTTAGCTGCAGGTTCAGCCGTAGGTTTCGTGGTTTATACAGGTGCTGAAACCCGTGCTGTGATGAATACGAGCCATCCAGAAACGAAAGTTGGATTATTGGACTTGGAAATCAACAAGCTTGCCAAAGTCAGTAATGTTCATATTGATATTTTTCAAGCATTTTAACTTATTTATCTGATAGATCCTTTGTGCTGTTACGTTTGCACTATCTGTTGTGCTTGTTGCACTGAATGGTTTTAGAGGGTTGTGGTATATATATACCTTCCGGTTCTTGATCCTTTTTTCCTCCATTATTCCTATCAGGTCCGTCGTAATCGTGGTGCTTCAACGATGTTCACCTAAATATGTTGCAGTCTTCGCGTTAACCTTGATATGGGTAAAACGGTATATGCCCAGCAGATCATGAACGATAATGAAATTCCAGACACTATCGTGCGTACAAGTACGCTACCCGAAGAACTTGGGAGGATTGAGTATCTCTTAAGCGATAAGACCGGGACGCTGACGCAAAACGGTGTGTACACTTTTCTCTCTGCTGACAAAAATCTCCTAAGGTTAAACCAGAGATGGAGATGAAGAAACTACATATGGGGACCATGTCGTACGGCTTCGATTCGATGGATGAAGTGGCCCATCAGCTTGAACTCGCATTTGGAGCTACGGGGGACCAGGGTGCGTCTGCCGACCTCCTTCCATCGTGACGATTTTGACCAGAATTTACAGCTCATCTTCGGCAAGGCTCGCTGTCAACTGGAGCTCAGTTGGCCACCCGGGGGCGTAGGGATATGTCTTCCCGTGTCCGTGATGTTGTTTTAAGTCTGGCTCTTTGCCACAATGTATGCATACCATACTCTATAACCGTTCCTTTCTCATACCCTTGTACTATAGGTCACGCCAGTGACTAACGATGATGGATCGGTGACCTATCAAGCATCCTCGCCGGATGAAGTTGCCATCGTCACCTGGACACAATCCATTGGACTAACTTTAGTATTTCGTGATCGCACCCGTATCGAGCTCCAGACACCTTCCGGATCTCGTATCTCATTCGATGTCCTCGATATCTTCCCATTTACCTCGGAGTCCAAGCGCATGGGTATAGTCGTTCGGGATCGTCAGTCCGGAGAGATCACTTTCCTGCAAAAGGGAGCAGATGTTGTCATGGCAAAGATTGTGCAACGTAATGATTGGCTCGATGAAGAAACTGCAAATATGGCCCGGGAAGGCCTGCGTACCCTTGTGATGGCCCGGAAAAGACTTGGATCCCAGCTTTACAATGATTTCAAGGCACGCCATCATGAGGCCAGTGTCAGACTCGAAGGCCGGAACGAAGCCATGAACTCTGTTGTGGCAGAATACTTGGAACGTGACCTCGAGCTCCTCGGATTGACGGGAGTTGAGGACAAACTGCAGGACGACGTGAAATCGACTTTGGAATTGCTTAGAAATGCTGGAATCAAGATATGGATGTTAACCGGAGATAAGATTGAAACAGCCCGGTGTATCGCGATTTCAACAAAGCTTGTGGCACGAAATCAATACATTCACGAAATTGCGAAACGTTTGTGGCCGGTGTACCCTCCAGATTTCAAAAGCTAACCAACATATTCTAGTTAAAACAAGTGATGAAGTTCGCGACCAACTCGAATTCTTGCAATCGAAATTGGATTGTTGCCTCGTAATTGATGGTGAATCATTGCAAGTAAGATACATTCATACTTATAGACAGTCCCTCGTATTGACACATACACAGTTGTGTCTCAATTTATTCAAGAACGAGTTTATTGAAATAGCCACCAAGCTTTCCGCGGTTGTAGCTTGTCGTTGTTCGCCCACGCAAAAGGCCGATGTGGCAAAGTTGATTCGCAAACATACCAAGAAGAGAGTATGCTGTATCGGGGATGGCGGGAATGATGTCAGCATGATCCAGGCAGCTGATGTTGGTAAGTTCTCATATCCTCACATCACATGATATGAAACTGATTGTAACCAGGTGTTGGTATCGTCGGAAAGGAAGGGAAACAGGCCTCACTAGCTGCCGATTTCTCTGTTACCCAATTCAGCTACCTAACAAAACTACTTCTATGGCACGGCCGTAATTCCTACCGCCGATCTGCGAAGCTGGCGCAGTTCGTGATCCATCGTGGGCTGATTATCTCGATCATGCAGGCAGTCTTCTCCGCCATCTTTTACTTCGCGCCCATCGCGCTCTATCAGGGATGGTTGATGATGGGATACGCGACGGTATACACCATGGCGCCAGTTTTCTCGCTGGTGCTAGATCGTGACGTTAATGAAGATCTAGCCTTGCTCTATCCGGAATTGTACAAGGAACTAACTAAGGTATAGTATTACTGGATCGTTAGCGAGTTTTTGTAACATTGCCATTCTATCTATAGGGTCGAGCCTTGTCATACAAGACATTCTTCCAATGGCTTATGATCAGCGTCTACCAAGGCAAGTGACCGCAATATTAGGTGTACTCATATTGACCAACTCAAATGCAGGTGCTGCTATCATGATTATGTCGCTGGTTCTATTCGAGAATCAGTTTCTGCATATCGTTTCGATATCCTTCACTGCTCTGATTCTGAATGAATTGATCATGGTCGCATTGGAAATTACTACATGGTAACATATGTCTTCATACTTTTGCCTCGTTCTCACGTACTGCTTCACATAGGCATGTTTACATGGTTGTATCAGAAATTGCAACCTTGTTCTTCTATGTTATTAGCATTGCTTTCCTGCCAGAATTTTTCGGTGCGTCAACCTATGTGTCCTCGCACCTTCAATTCTGACATACTACCTAGACCTCACATTTGTCATTTCCGTCGGCTTTGCATGGAAACTTGCGGTTATTGTGGCTATCAGCGCCCTACCATTATATATTATCAAGCTTATACGCAGTCGTGTTGCGCCGGCAGCATCTAGCAAACTATTGTAGATCCCTTGGCGGTTATTTATCATACTAATGGATCACATTATTTGTACCGTACGCATTACTTGAGGCTCTTTACAGGAAATTTCATATGAATCTACGGACCTGTGAACAAGTATGAAGTACTAGCACAATCCTTTACAGGTCGTTCCTTGACGCCAAGGTTTACCGCTGACCCGTTTATGGAGATCCCTTTGCGCCCGCTGCGTTACAAGGTGGGTAGCAGATTAAATGCTTGTATTTCTAGCAGGTGGTCCGACTTAGTGAGGTACCGAATTGTATATCTCTAATTTGAACAGGTCAACTCATATAATCATTAGCAGCGGTTGAATTAAAAACCCTCTGCCCCCAGGCCCGGGCCCTTAAAATGATCGGACTCAGTTATATAGAC